CATCATCCAATTCTTCTGCCTTCTTTATCCCCCAAAGCAGCAACCTTTGGATGGCTCTTCAGCAGAAGGGTTTCCATGTTGCTACCACAGAATTCAGATCAGAGTCAATGTACATATTTTTCCAGAAAAATATCCATGTCAGTCTGTTCTAGCAAAACCAGAAACACTTCAGTCAACAAACCACAAAATATGATTTGTTAACATGTTATCTGGACTCTTTTTTTGTTGTTTAAAAGCTGAGCTTATGGTTTTGCATATCCCATAAATCCAGTCAGCAAACAGTAAACAAACTGTAATTTATTGAGCCATGTGAACCACATTAGAGTCTGGTGGCAGACACTTTAAAAAAATGATATATATATTCTACAAAGCTTTCTGGACCAATGCAAGGGTATTATCCTTTAAAAGCTTACTTTGAAGGGGAAACTTTATATTGAAGGAGAAAGCTACTGGGTAATCTACTGGGTAAAAGATGCAACTTATTCCAAGTATTGTGGTACTTAGCATGCACTTCCTAATATACACTTCCTATATATATTTTTGAATTATTTGTAATTAATGGAATGGAATTAATAGCTTATTGAGAGGGATGTTACTAATGCTTTACTTGAATAATATGCTATTGGGTTTTTCAGGATCATAATGGCTGTGCATACTTGCAAAATCTTTTGGAAATGGTGCTTGGGATTTCATGGGAAACGCAGCACTTCTGCTATTTCATTCAATCCCACCCCACGCCCGGCTTCCTGTTCTTATTCTCAAGGTTTCACAATTTTCACTCTTATTAATGATTGGCTCCCAAGAAGTGCTTGTCATTCTTTTTAAAAATGTTCCATTATATAAGGAGTTCAACCTGCTTATCTGCCAAGGCAAAGGTTTTTGATGATGGATGCTCTTTCTTCTGCAGTCTTGTTTTTATTTATATTTTAAAATTTTTAACAGCTATTTTATTGTTTTAAGAGTTGGTCTACATCCCCATATTCATTTAGCGAAACATAATATTCCATTCTTGGATTCAGGGGATGAGGAAAGGTTTTTTTTTCCCCTCCCCACCACCATGTAATTCATTCATATAATTCATAGAAAGCAACCATACAGTATGCAAGATCAAACAGGGAATCAGGCTTATCCCAACAGATGAACATCTGAAAGGACCGTGCAATTTTGTGTGTATCTTAGATTCATAGAAGGACATTATACACAGTGGTCTTTGGCTTGGTTTGAGAGTATTTTGTGGGAGTTTCTCTATATGGGTGCACACACATTTCTGTCCCCCCAAAAACTCTTCTCACCCCTATGGGTGGTGTATATCTTCTTCGCTCCGATCATTGTCCTCTTCTGGACAGAGAACTCTGATGTTGTTCTTGGCTTAGGAGCCTAGGAGTCACAGCCCAGAGTGCTCCTATCATCACTGGTTTTACTTTGAGACAAAACCCCAAGAACAGATAAACAAATAAATATTTTGCTTTCTCCCAGTTTTTAAGGTTGAGTTTTCCCATAAAGTCAGTTTCAAAAGTCAGACTCAAAAATGGTGATATGGAAAAACTGAGGGGAAGCAGGTATATTAACTTTGGACCAACTGTTAGATGATGGCATTCAATTTTCAACATATTCTGCATTAAGAGTTAGATATCATCTATAAGAGGGAACTCAGTGGTAATATTAACAGTTATAACATTTGTTAAGAGCACTGAACCAACAGCATTTTCAGTTTCTGAGACCCCTGAGGTGTTAAAACAACTGGTGAATCCTTTAAAATTAAAAATTAAAAACCTAGTCATAGTTTTTAGATATTTGTTATCAGTAAAACTATTTGATATGCAGATGTTAAGAAATGAGTGAAATAAAGAATTAGAGGTTCCTATATTGCCTAGACAATATCTTAACTTCTATAGCAAGCCTGTCAAAGTACTTCAAATTACGACTTAGACAACAAAAACTATTTCGAATTCACTGGATTTCTTTATTTGTATAGAAAAGGACTGTCAAAACCAGCATTTTGTTGGAAATGTAACAAGGACAATGCTTCTTTAAAAAGTTTCTACAATGTGCTATACTTAGCAATTTTTGGGAGAAAGTAATGGATTATATAAATATGATTGTGCAGCAAAAGCTAAGATATTCAGAGGATAATGTTCTTTCGAACTAGTATGTGGAATTTGACAACTTGACAACTTAAATAGATTCTTTGTGTCCTTACTATAATTAAAAGACAGATCTTGTAGCATTGGAAATATAAATGGATATGTCATTATTTTTGTGTTTGTGTTTATTAATTAAAAAGTGATAAAAATATGACTTTTGTTTTATTGGGGAAAAATGTCTGAATTCTTGGCTGGAATGACTCCTTATGTTTTAATTATTTGTATTTGGATGTGTCAGCAACAAACCAGATACATTTCTCAGACTTTCATTTTTTATTGTTTATAAGAAATTGTGCTTCACAAAAACAGCAAAGAAAAATTAAAATTGTAAAATTGACACTTTAAAAATATGCTTTGAGAGGCAAAAATAGTATACAAAAATACAACAGACATATTATTTACATCTAGAGGCAGTAGCAGCAATAGTAAAAGCTATTTGTTTGAAAAATAAATATTTCTTGTGATAGTATACACTAGGTTAAAGCAAATTATAGTATGAAAGCTTATTTCATTATTCAGTTCCATAATTTTACTTAAAGTTTTAAGAGCAATCTCTTCTTAACACATACTCTTTATAGGCATTTGCAATTAAAAATTTACATCTTCCCCTTCTAGAATGGAGTTCTACTCCATCATCAACCGTCATTGAACTTATTTCTTCCTATATAAATTTACACATATTTTCTTCAGATTTAATGTATTGCACTTTCATCACATTTCTGAGTACTATTTTATGCATTTAATACTTATTTTCTGCCTAAGCCATAAAATTGTGGTGCCTGTAAGGAATGGGAAGTGCTCCATTCTTTTGGATTACTTCATACAAGTAAGAAAAGCACAAGCTTATCCATAACAAAATATTTTAAAACACAAACTTCCTGTTTGTGGCAGCATTCTGTTAACTATAAAGCAACCATGGTAATTATATGTGAGAATTGCACACTTTATAGATTTCAGCCTTTATCAGCAGTCCCTAAAGAACAAAGAATTTGAGCAACGATTGTCACATGCAAGTCATTTCTCACTCTTGTTATTTTCACATAACAATATCAATTTCAGCAACAGAATGTTATTCTAGTTTTAAAATGTAAGCATAATGGCAAAATGACAAATAGAAGGGTGACACTACAGAAAATCTAGAAATACTACTTCTACATCTCAGAAAGTCGTCATTGGTGACTCAGGATCAGTTCACACTTTTGCTTGTTTATTACTTTTGAAATGTAGCATCAAATGATTCTTGTGTATATAAATGGACCATTTAGAGGTAATCAATCACAGGGTATTTAGATGACTATTCAAATTAAAACACAAGGAACATCATCAATCACTGTGCATGAATATGTGGCACACATTTCTTAGATATATTCAATCGTTTTAATATCAGCATAAATATCATTAATGGCTAACTTAATTAATTAAAGGTCCTTGAATAGAGTGGCGAGTGACTATATCCATACTGTTTTCTTAGGATTGTTACAGTATTAGTTTGTCACTGCTTTCCCTTGGGACGGATGTATTATGATTTTGTACACCCTGGGATTGGCTCCAGTTCAAATGTTAACCAGGGCTGCTCTTGCTTAGCTATGGAATTCAGCCCAAATTGGCTAGGATTATGCTAAAAGCTAGTTTAAGCTGAAAGAATGATTGTCATGCTGGTGAAGATAACAATAGACAACTTATAAATTTCCGTTGTATTGGCACAGGTTACATTTACATCACAAGAGTCAGCATCAATGAAAATCCTATTTTCATGGTTGACTATACTGTTGAAATTTTGGCTTAGGGATGGATAGATTTTAGGGGAAAAATTAAAGATAGAAGTCAACATACTTATTTGCATTTTAAGACTCCAAAATTAATATGAACATCCCTGAGATGGCTGGTTTGATTCCTGTTATAAAAGACAGAGAAATAATAAAATAAGTGACACCATTTTTCACCTCAGAGTAACGTTTTGTTCCCTGATAAACAAAACTCTTTCTAGCCCCACCTTAGAATCTGGGGCTTCTTCCATACAAAGTATATGCTATACCTTTTAAGCTACAGCTTTTTCCCCTAGAAATTTGGTGACTCAATATTTGGGCTGAATATATCATAGGTGTCTGACTGGGAACAGTTCACCCTCTCTCTCATGCACAGAGATAGTTACAACCAGAAATACCAGCAACAGTTTGGTCTTATTTGCTCTATTCAAATAGTTTATGAAGTGGAATAATTGAGGCCATTCACTTGCAAACCATAACCATCCAAGAGCTGCCTTAAATTTGGCAATCCTGTGCCACATTGGATTCATGTGAACCACGGGTACATATGAGAATTATGATTCCCATGTTATATTCCTACATGGTCGGCTTTGGTCACATGGGAAACATTGAAGCATGAGAAGATCTTAACACAATTAGCTTTTTTAAAAAGGCATATCTATCCAGCTCTGGTTGTAGAATAAATATCAAAGCTGCATTTTCACAACTGAATGACATATTAAAATATATATGCATCCATTTTTTTTCAAAGTTACAGAAGTTTAATACTGATACATGCAATTATTTGACATTCTTTTAGACTTCAGGTTTTTTAGTGATTTCCCCCCCCCAAAATTATGGATCAATACAGAGTTGTGTAAAATAGTATTTCTTTTTAGCCAAACACTCTCACACTTTGTGAAAAGTCAGGTAAGCCTTTCATGTATTTTAAATTAGGACCTTATGTTTTTGTTCTAAATTTTGGCACCACAAAACAGACATTCCAGATTTATTCTGTCGCTTTACACTGCTTTAGATTTAGAACATTTAGTTCATAGACCAAAATTTGAAGATAAAAGACATGTAACATATAGAATTTCCAACATTTAACTACAGTATAATCTGGTGGTTAAAGCTTTAAATAAATGATCATCTATAATGTGACTAATACTATAAGAACAACTTTCACAGTAAGCATGTTCTATTTAATTACTCTTATTTGATTAATAAGAATCAATGTGCATGTGTGCATATATATATACACAAATACACATTACACATATATACATATGTGTGCATGCATGCACGCACGCACATACATATTGCACCACTAATTCTACAAAGTTCTGTGAAAAATGCCTTGATAATTTGGTCTCATTTTCTCACTTGCTTACTTCCTTAGGAATGCAGAAAAGCCAAAACTTTGGCTCACTCAGCCCAATCACATCAGCTCTGACTGCCAGCATCTCCTTTTGATTCTTTACATTGGTAATGTCAAGGGTGCGTGCTTGCATTTTTCCCCCTTTAGTTATAAATTACTATGTTTTCTTTAAGGTATTAGAAAGGGGGATTTTTAATGCCCCCAATGGGAAGGGGGATCATTTTTCTCTAGGGGCTTCCTGAACAAAAGATGGAAAAGGTTGCTACAAAGTAAGGCAGGCACTGTTGCTGGCTGAAAATAAAAAGTAAAAAACAACAACAACCAAGTGAACCCAATTCACATGAAGATACAGTCTGTGAAAAACTTCTGATGAAAGTCTACAGTCAACCATATCTTCTAGGCTCAACATCTAAAGAGTTCTTATGTCTCACTTCTCAATTCTTGAAGTGACCTGAAAAGCTCACTTGTAAAATGTTTTAAATAAGCCAGCAGCCAATATATTTTAATAAAGATTCAATGCATTTAATATCCTCAGAGTTTACTTTGAAGAGTAGATAATCTTGTGTTTATAAGCTGCACCCTTTCAGAGATAACTTTCCAGAATGCAGTGGGCTCCACCACAAATAGATCAAGAAATCTATTTTAAACCTTTCTCCTTTTTTAAAAACCAGGGGGATGAAGAGACAGTTTTTACCAAAAAGGAAGCAGTTTTTGTGTAAGAGTGAAGTTAGACAGAAGGTGTGATAAAATTAGCTCACAAGTTGCCCACTTTTGGTTTAGTTTATCAAATTCATGTATACCACCAACACAAACAAGAACAGGGCTCTGCCATGGGGATAAACCTTCACTGATGTTCACTTCTCATATATTCTCTGTGATTCAGGAGCTTCTTCTGCCATGGCAGAAAGTATCATGTCAACACTGTGATGAATTATTCACTTTATGAATTATTATGCCCATAAAATAAATAAATCATGTTTCCTTTATGAGCCAAAACAAGACACACATCACTCAGCAACCAAAAGTTAATTCTGAAGCTACATTCAGGTATTCTGGGATTTGGGCTTTGCGGTACTATTTTGAGTATCATGTGAGGTAGAGCTAAATCAAAAACAATACAAAACAACATAGACATAGATGCATTTTCCTGTTCCATTTTTACAAGGCGTGTAAATTTAAGCTTTGGAATTTTGTCCACAGTGTTGAGAAATTGTCTTCTTAATGCGAAGTGCTGTCAGTCGAGCTGCCCCATTGGTGAACCAGCACTCACGCATGATTCGGCCCATAAGTCTGAGCGCCTTAAGAAATCAAGAATAAAAAAAATTATTCCCACTGCAATGTTTTGGTATGGTATAAATATTGCCAGGACTCAAGAAAACAATTCAAAACTATTGATCAATGTATATTTATTATTCACATATTCTGGATTAGGCCCTAATTTTCATTCTGCTCATGGAATGAACATACTTGTCTCATCCTTCCCTTAACAACCTCCTGTGTAGCCAAAAAATTATTCTGGTGAGAACTGGGATATACTCTAGACCAATGGTCGCCAACCAGTGGGCCAGGGATCACTGGTGGTCCACGAGAAAATTTTGGTGGTCCGCAGAGAAATATCACCCGCAAGCACCCCCCAAAGCAAAAAACTCTGGAAAAAAACTCCAGAGAAGTTCCTGAGACAGGAAGTCTAGTCCTGCCAGGAATGTAATAAGGGTTAACGGAGAGGCAGTTGTGTTCCAGGCTGAGCAGGAACACAAGGCTGCACTGCCCACATGGCCCATGGGAACACAAGGCTTGCGTTGCTTGCATTATGAACAACACAAGGTAGTGAGGGGAGGGGGGAAAGGGCGGAGGGGGGAACTTGCCCACTAGCCTCACGCACCTCACCTGGCCACCGGGCTGCTTCTTTCCTCTTCTTTCTTCTCCTGCTTTTGGCTGCACACAAGGAAAGCACCAAAAGTCTTTCTTTCTCTTTCCCAAACTCCATCAGAAATGAGTCTTTGGGACCCTGCAAGGCAACCTGCTCCAACAGGCTGCACCGGCATGGCAAATCTCACAAAGACTCATTGCTGGCAGAGTTTGGGGGAGAGAAAGAAAGACTTCTGCTGTTTCTGCTGCTTTCCTTGCATGAAGCCAAAAGTCTCTCTCTCTCTCCCCCCCTGAGAACGGAGCTGGAGATGGTATCCTGCGATCCCAAATAAAGAATGATCGAATTATCGCCACCTGGTGATAAGCAATAAGGGCTGGCCAATTTCATATTAGTAACCATGTTTGATTATCGGTCATTTTCAGGGCCACAAACAATAAAAATGTTAACAAAACACTAGCATCGGCCTTAGTAATTGCAACACGTAGGCCACTGGATATGCATCAGTTAATCCGTTTTCATAGTCATTGTAAGCATGCAAGAAAATTCACAATCCCTATCCAAACAGCACCAAATTGCAAAAAGCTTATGCTTTTAACTTAAAAACCACCAGTATTTATTTAAATATAACAATATTTGCATAGCAGTTACCATAAAATATCATAAAATCAATGGCCTATCCAAAAAATGTCATAAACCGTAAACTGTAAGGCGTGCAGGATTTTTTCACACAGCTGTATATCTTTTGATCAATGTCTAGATTCATACTATGACAAATAAAAAGCAGCTTTGTAAGTAGATAAGCTGGCGATTTAAACGATATAGTGATGGTCATCCACTTGGATGGCTTTAAAAGGACAAATTCATGGAAAACATCATCATTACCATGTATATGTTAATACAATTTATGTTCCTTTTCTACTCAAGCTTTTACTCAAGCATGTATTAACCTATGTCCAATTGGCTTTGTAATACCAGTTGCTGAAGGAGAGGAACAGAAAAGAGTTATGGCCATCATCTCCTGCTTGTAGGCAATTGGTGGCACTCCAGTCTTTGCTAGAGAAGTCCCAACATCAGTAACAAGTGCTGAGAGTTGTTGTTTAGCCATATCTGGGTTTCCAGAGATTGCCCACCCCTATTTTCCATAACTGTGTGGGAACAAATGCTGAATTGAGACTTCTATCTGAGCCAGTGCTGCTTTCCTTATATTTGTACATACATTCCCTTACAGAACATCAACAGGGCTGCCTGAAGGTTTCCCTCAGCCCATATTCCCAGAAATATGGGTAATGTAGAAACAGGCTTGCCAGTTGTCTGGCAAAAGGAGGATATCTCCTCCTCTTTGTCCTCATGTCTCTGTCCGATCCTTTGTATCCTTCTGTCCTCCATCTACCTTAAATTCAAATATTGTCCAGCTTTCTGAGTATCTAACAAGATGTCCAGGGGTGGGATTCAATTTTTTTAACAACCGGTTGTGTGGGCGTGGCTTAGTTGGTGGGCGTGGCTTGGTGGTCGTGTGACTGGTGGACATACCTTGGTGGTCATGTTATTGGCTGGGTGTGGCCAACTCAATGTCACTCACATTGAGACACGCATCTCCTCGCCTGGCCTCTCATGCCTGTGGGGATGCTGCAACAGTCATAAGTGTAAAAAATGGTCATGAGTCATTTTTTTCAGTGCCATTCTAACTTTGAATGGTCACTCCACACAAGCAAAGTACCAGCAAAGGAGGGGAAAAAAACTCCAGAGAAGTTCCTGAGACAGGAAGTCTAGTCCTGCCAGGAATGTTAACGGAGAGGCAGTTTCTGTAAGCAACACCAGAATGTTTCCTTCCTCCCTTCCTTACAGGTTTAGGCCAGTAATTTCTTCTAACAACTGGTTCTCCGAACTGCTTAGAATGTTAACAACCGGTTCTAGTGAATAGGTGCGAACTGGTAGAATCCCACCCCTGAAGATGTCTCTTCTGGGTTACCATTTTTTTCTCCGCAATGCGCACTTCCCTAATAGGTTCTACCAGCAAGTTAACAAGTTCTGCTCTCTGACCTTAATTGATTGATTAATACTCTCCTGGGGCTTGCACAGCTGCCTGAAATTGGCAAGGCCTTAATCAGTTACATACTGCCTAACCGCACCAGCATACTGTCTTCCTTGAAACACTAGCGTTTCTGATGTTGGAAAAAGAAATTTCATACACAGGCGTAAGTAAGTACTTTTTTGTTGTTGCAGTTTTTCACTTTTAGTTTGTTAAGGAAAGTTAAAAAGATAGGTTGTCCTCCTGTCTCCTCTATTTGTTCTTCTTTCCAACTGTCCGTGTCCTCATTTGTCTGTTCAGCTGCCTGGTGCCTCTAGATAGATTAGCAATTTCTTATCCTAGGATGAAATTTAGGAATGTGAAGGTATAAGGCACCCAGATTTAAATCCTGCTTTACACTCGGTGTCTTTTATGCCATTAGAGAATATTGGAAATGTACTTTTTTATATATGAAGGTGATGATGTTACCTCACAGCTTTGCCACTGATTTGGAATATTTGGTCTCAGCTTTTGTTCACAGACTGCCTTTTTCATTTCTTCTATTGAAGGATCAGAAGACACAGCATCGTAATAAGGTAACTGGTACTCCTCCATAATTCCTAAGAAAGTAATGAGGTATCCAATAGATTTTTACATATTAGTATCATTTCGAATGTTGCAGGAAACAGGTTTTAGAACTTTTATAACTATAATAGTCACCAACTTCCTAACACAACTTTCTGTTGCAAACTTGTTCTAACTTGGTGTGTCCAAACATGGTGGGAGTAGAACTTCCTGATTTCTTCCGAGAATTCAGAAATACTTCTGAACGCATCTGGAGACCCTTGCTTAAGAAAGAATGGTTTTTCTATCAATATCTGTTTTTCTTTCAAAAAATTATTCAATACCAAAATATGAACGCTTTGTAGAGATAAATACAATTTAAGCTATAAAACAGAATATTTAGAGCCATTAGGCTCAAATTAAAAATAACTGGAAACTATCTTTGTTTAAATTTATAGCATTGAAAAGATTCTGAATTTGACAGATATTTTCTCTACCAATCCTTATGTTTAAAAAAACCTGATAATTAATCAAATTTTGATATCAGCTGACAGAAGAAGCACGAATGCATTTATATACAACAGTAATAACAGACTATACTTATACAGTAACATAATATGAGATCACAAATCTTTTACAGAAAGATTCTATATCTTACCCTACAATAATTTAGTGTTTGGGTAACAGAAAGAGATACTCACTTTGACTTTGATACAGATGGGAGAAATGTTTTAAGAACAACAACAAAAAAACAATTTTATATATGTACATTTCAGAATGGTGTTTCTAAATATAATCCAGTTCCATTTTGTTTCTTTTTGTCAGTAACGATTCTTGCAACCGCCTAGACTAACCCCTGAAATTTTCTTAGTAAGATTTTTGGAAGTGGTTTGTTATTACTTTTTTCTTAAGACTAAGAAAATGATTGGCCCAAGATAGCATAGCTATTTTTAGCCTGGCACCATATCCAGCATATCAAACTTGTATTCATTTGTATTCTTCAAAGATTATCTCCTAAAGGTGCTTTTCCAAAGGCAACTGGACTTTCTTGGTTTTTCCTTTGAAAATGTTTTGCTTCTTATCCAAGAAGCCTTTTCAGTTCTAAATTCAGTTTTAGAACTGAAGAAGCTTCTTGGATGTGAAGCAAAATGTTTTCGAAGAAAAAAACCCCAAGAAAGTCCTGTTGCCTTTGGAAAAGCACCTTTAGGACAACCATGGCCTGGATGATTGAGAATCTCCAAAGACAAAAGATGATCTTTCAAAAAGTGTCCACCCCTATTGTCCAAATTCAGAGAAGTAATAGCAATATAAAAGATTATTTCCGCTTAGTGTTTAAATCAGTGTTGCCAGAATTTACTACTCTGTGATCTGAAATCACCTGGAACTGTTACGAATAAGAGTTGCCCTGCTTTCATTCCATGTGCTTCTGAAAATGGAAAACATTTATCTTTAAATAAGTTTTTGATTCTATTTCTATTTAATTGAATGTTCATTTTGGTATTTATCCTGTTTATGCCTTTTGATTTGATTAATATGTAAAAGATATTTTTTTTAAAAAAAAAATACTTCTTTTTATTTTAAAATCTCTTTAAAGCAGGTTATATATTTTTGGATAATTAAATGTAATACACCATGTCCAAAATTAATCAAAAATTCTGTAAGAAGCAAAAGTTTTGGTTCAGTGTAAATAGCTTTAATAAGGGACATGGGTCATACCTCCATCTAAGCATCTTCTGGATATCTCCCAATACACCAGTCCAAGAGAGTAGATATCTGCACGCTTGAAAGACTCAAAGTTATTTATGTTCATTGTATCATCAAGTATTTCTGGTGCCATGTACCTTTCAAACCCAGAGAGAGTGAAATTCAGATATTTGTTGATGAAAGGGAAATTACAAGTAATCACAGCTAATGAGAATTTAATTAGTCTTTCCAATATATAGCAGCATGTTTAAAGGAAGGATAATTCAAATGGACAATACATGTGATATTTTTAAGCAAGTGAACATAATTGAGAGGAAAAATTCAGATTATTATTCATATCCCCCCCCCAATCCCACTTTAGCAGTTTCCTTTTGATCAATTTGAAAGGAACATATAGTTCCTAAATATAACATTGATCATCAATTTACCATAATGCAAAACAAAATATGTACTCCCACATTAGGTGCAGATCAACTTGAGATATATTCAATTTAGTTGCTTTTCTACATAAAAAGTTTTCAATAAGTTCAATTACTTTCAAATGGACATAGGAAGAATGATTCATTCACCTAATTGTCTATACCCAGCAATGTTCCTTCTATAATAAATTACCGCTCTGTTTTTGCTCTTGAGTTCTGGGGAAAAACAAACCCTACATAACTCCTCACTATCCATGACTTTTATTTAAGGAAATGCCTTATTTGATTTCAAAAGGTCATAGAGTTTACCAAGGAAAAACAATAGACTGAGCCATACAAAAATAGTTTCTGAAGAATCACAAGGAGAAGCTATCAGTATTTTGATTCTTTCTTGCCCAGATATATATGGCTATAGATCATGTGATAATTAAAAATGCTCAACAGCAAAGTTGAAAAGCAAAATTAGAGAATGATTTACAAGACTGCACAAATCTGGAGACCTATCACTAAAATGAAGAGGGTCAATTTGCAAGGGATCATTTGTCCAATACGGTTGCAATTTTATGCTCATATCATAATTTTATAAAAACTTTACTTTTTTTATTGTCTTACCTCTTGGTTCCTACTCTAGGATTCTGTGGTATGTCAATTGTGTTTAATACCGAGTCATGCTTCACAGCTAGCCCCAAATCAGCAATAGCACAGCTTTCGTTCCTTTTGACTAGGATATTTTTAGATTTCAAGTCTCTGTGTGAAATAGCTGGCTTTCCTTTGAAGCACAAAATGTATATGGTAACAAGGTCAAATATTAGATACAATTGGTTTACTTAACAGAAAATACATATTACACTGGTATTCAGGTCTTAGGATAAATACAATATGTCAACACTAATAAGAGGAATGAAATAAAATATTCTTTCTACTTGAGAAAGCAAGATTCCTGACTGAGTGGCTACTTCTATTTATGTTCAAGTGAAAACAGTCAGAAATCTTAGCAGTCTTTGCTGCTTAACCTGAAATTGTTAGTTGCAACAAAATTAGCATATGCAGCCCCAAAATGGATTCTTCAGGCAGAATAACAACATTTTGCACACAAATGCAACTAGGAGAGTTGAAAAGAGCAGGGAAACCTGGTTTTTCTTTTAAGTGCTGCTTAAAAGTGCTCCTTGTGGAGGAGTCACTATCCCAAGTCACACCAAGTCAAGGTCAAGAAGAACAAGGATGGATGCAGATTGAATCACACATCCTCTCTTAGGCAGCCTTAAGCAGCCAGGAGGGACATAGGTCTAACTATGGCCAAACTAACAGTTGCAAGAACCCTGTTCACTTCCTCAGGGGTTCAAGTTCCTCCATGATAACCATGAAAACTAACCCCCCCCCAAAAACTGTATTGGATCTGCATCAGAGTTGGAGTTCAATGCAGAACGAATCTGAGCAATTTTACCCACATATCTGGCAGTGACCCTAGACCCCAGAATCCCTCGTTCCTAAGAGGATCTTACCCAAAATAGGGTGGGTGGGCAGCTATCAGTGGATGCAACATATGCATTTTGATGCTGGAAGATATGGTACAACAAAGTGAACAGACCACCTCAAATCCAAGAATTACAATAGTAATTGTGGGGGGGAGGGGGGAGGCCAATTCTAACTCTGCTCTGGCTTCAGTCAAAATGGCACAAAGTCAGAAAAAAAGTTGGCTCAGATGTTACAATGTACCGTCTTCATGCAGTTGGGCCGATATGATACAGCAGATGGGGAGGCCTGTCCTCTCAGTTACATCGACCCCATGGGATTTTCTGGGGAGGGGGGGGAAAGGCCCACATATATTGTCTGAGTCTAGATTTCACTGGAACCTCAGAAAGCTAAGTGTTGTAGGGTTGGGACTTGTCACTGTTTCGGTAAAAGATAACAGGAAATCCGAGGACTTTAGAGGAGGAAAGCAAAAGTCTTCTATCCTGGAAACAGGCAATCTCTCAATGGACATATCCAGGATGTCCCCAGGAACCAAGTTCAAGGTGAAAGTGACTTTACTCTCAGAGTTGTTTCTGCAATACTTATAAATACACCCAAGTGTTAATTCAAGTAGTGCAAAAGGAAAATGGGATGTGGAAAAAGCAAGACGAAGGACTTCTTCATGATTACATGGAGTTTTAATTATTAGTCAAATGCCAATCTCCCATGTAAATCAGAGTGAGGAGGAGAAAATGATACTCAATCTAATGGACAAAGGCAAGTTCTCGCCTTTCCTAAAGTTGCCAGGTATTATAGTGCTGCTGGAAGAGGAGGACAATGATTATTCCTGGTTAAACCAAGATGTGGATGCCAATTAAGTTGATTTAACCTTGGTTGCCCCATTAAACATATCCCTCTAGCTTCTCTTCAAGTTATTCTTAAGTCTTTGACTTTAACACAAAGAAAACTGCCCTGAAAAGGGTTGTTATACCTTGAGTTCCAACGATTTCCATGTGCAGATGTGCTAGACCACTGGCTATTGAAAATGTCAGCTTAATCATTTCATCAGCTGTCACAGTGTTGCTGTTTAAGTAGTCAAACAAAGAGCCCTGCTCATAATATTCAGTTACAAGCCACAGTTGAGTCCAGGTCCCATTGTCTACAGAGAGAGATTACCAAAAAAAGCATGTGGGTTTAATCATTCCAAGGTTCATGAGATTTACAAAACCTGTTGATTATTGGTAGCAATAGCAATAGCATTTAGACCAATATACCGCTTCATAGTGCTTTGCAGCCCTGTCTGAGTGGTTTGCAGATTAAGCCTATTTTCCCCAACAATTTGGGTCCTCATTTTACCCACCTCAGAAGGATGGAAGACTGAGTCAACCTTGAGCCTGGTGAGATTTGAACTGCCAAATTGCAGGCAGCCAGCAATCAGCAGAAGTAGCCTGCAGTATTGCATTCTAACCACTGCGCCACCAAGTGGGAAAGATTTGGCAATGTTAACATGGCTATATACAACATAACAACATACTAGAATGGAGTTTCACATATTAAAGCGTCAATCCTCAACACTGCGGACTAAGTCTCACTGAATGCAGAGGCTGGTTTCCAAATACACATGCATGGGATGAGCTATATTTATGAGCATAAAACTCATTAGTGAAAATCAGTGCATTAGAAGGAGGGCAGGCAGGGGTATGTTTTGACCCTTTGTCTGCTTGTACCGGTAGTTCATCTGCCTCTGTGTAGGACTTAAACTGTTATGCTAAAGTCCACCCACGCTAACTGTTTCCTTAGACAGTATCTTTACACATTCATTGACATGCTTCTTCTATGTATCATGGATCCTTCTCTTCAAAGACAAAGACATTTAGATGATATATGACTATCTCAAACTGTCAGATGAGTACCCATTCATGTGGTGTTCACATGAAACAAAAATTGGTTTATAGCATATGGAACTAGTATAGCAAAGCATGGAAATGATTTCTGGAGTTTTTTTAAAAACTAGAAACAGACAGTTATTTAAGAATGTTTTAGGAAATAAATAGAGCCAAGGGTACCATGGCCCTTCTCCAACCAAAAAAGCAACCAACCTTTTAAGGATCAGATATAATTCTTTAAAAAAAAAACTGTTCACACAGGAAAAGAAAGAGACCTGTAGTACCTCTACTGCTCTTAATTGCTTAGCTGATATAAAACTCGAGCCCTCTTTCGGAAATCTCCATCCAGAATTGTACAGTCTTGATTCCAGTACAACCAATAGATTTAAGCAAAACATAATTAACTGATTAAAATCTCTCTGAGCCCATACAGGAGGCAATTTATTTAAAGAAGCCTCTGGAATTCATTCTACCATAGGACTATATCTTAAGAGCACTTTATAGTGCTCTAATTATGGCATTTGTGTAAAAAAAAACCACAAAAAACAAATATAAGATAACAAGTAGTCTTTGAAATGCAGCCACGTCAAACTTTATTTAAATTTAACTGTACTTTGACCTTGATTAAATTCTTCGCCTCTTTCCTGAACCAATAAGCAATGTCCTTCATCATCCACCCACTGAACATTTGCCATAATACCTCTATTTTCTACATAAGTGATGGTTCCACTAACTTCTGCACATATCTACATTCTCTTCAGACTATTTCTTTGACTAGGCAACACTATGAAGCATGCAGAAAAAAGACTAAGAAGCAGTAATCCAAAGACATTAAAGGCGAGCAATAAGAAAAAGAAACACAGCTCTGCTTACCATTTACTACACTATTTGTTATACTTCTCCCTATCTTTCTATTCTTGTTCCAGCAGGTCCATATACCCTTTCACACATTTTATTCTTAACTGACCCAGTAACAATAATTCTCCGAGCAGATTAAAAGTGAGCAGAATAATGTCAAGCACAGGAAGGAATTTAAATTTAAAAGTATGCAAAAGCTGCTATTGAGTGAGGACTTAAAATATTCCCTAAGCTAAATCGATAGCATCTCTGATCCCTGGGAAAGAAATGAATACCCTCTGCCTGTGATGAGTTTGGGGCCAAGTGGACCTTTTGAGTTGGGTTTTGCACAGATTGGGTTTCCCCCTTGCAGACGGCCAATTTCTCCTTGTCATTTTTATTTCATTTTGTTTATGTTTGCTGTTGAATGCAGAAACTTAGGTTCCTAGAAGCCAAAGCTATGCTAGGCTATATCCTCATATTTGTTTATATGTTCATTTATTAAAAATTGTATATTATTTTCTGTTATCACTGGCATCAAATACAATTTATATATATTTTTATTTTAATAAAATTTTAAAAAAACCAGAGTACAGATGGTACAAAGATAAATAAAAATTAATTCTGCTGTTAATTAACAATTAAAAGCATGTTGAAAGACAAACTATTCTAGTATATACATCATAAGAATTTCCTGGGTGGGGGGGGAATAGGCCAGGTTGTAATACATATCTTGCTGTTGGGTTATTTCCAGCTTTGGCAGATGAACACCCAAATATTAGTACCTTGAACCAAAGGGCAGTGAACTTGACAGCAAACTATGTACGTGTACCACATGACACCTTGCCCCAGACACGAGTCCAATTATCATTGCACTGAATATCAACTAGCATTTCTAGAATCTAGGTAGTCCTATGTAAAGTACATGGTAACAGTCATATCAGGCTGTAACAAAGACATGGATAACTGTCACCAAATCCAACCAGTTCAAGAAAAGCTGCTGCAACCTGCCAACGTACTTATTGTCGTAACTGCCACTTACAAATCTTCCAGCTGAGGAATAATTTCAATTTGTGGATCTAGCCTTTTAAAGAAAGTGTAACCCGTACAAAACAGTCTCAAACCTAGGATTCAGTTTTATAATTGCATCTTTGCCTTGCCTAAATTTAATTCCAGCTTCCCCCACTCTCCCTCCCCACCCTTGCTCCTCCAATCTATCACCAAGCTTATACAACATTCAAATATTTCTAGCAGCTTCCCTGAAGCTGGATGATCAGGAGCAACAGAGCTTGGTGTCATCAGCTTAATAACGACACCTTACTCTAAAACTCAGAATGATTTCCTCCATCAATTCCATTACGAAATTGAACAGCATGTACATCAAAATGAAAAACTGGTAGATATTGCAGATCTATGGCCTAGATGTCAAACAGTAGTTTCCTAGCACCAAGTTTTGGACAAAACCTGACAGGACTACAACTATTGTGAAACAGTGCCCCCTAAGGTCCAACTTTGGCAAAGAGTTCACTGAGGAGGACAGGAGAATTAAGAAGGCTGTAGTACCTACACCCACTCCTTGCATCCAGTTTCTAGTATACCATTCATCAATTGCCAGAAATGCAATTGAAATTGGTCCAGGTCATAAGTATCATGGCTTCTCAGTTTGCTTTCCAGAAATAGAATATTTGTGATTTGTTATAACTTCCTGGAGAGAGGGAGCTTCTTCAACAGAAGCCAAAGTTTCCACTTTTAGGCAGAGTGAAACCCATCCTGCTACCACAGAAGTACTGCACTTAATATTTATCTGTCCTTACCCTTTAATATCTACAAGCTAGAAGATTTCAAAGTAAAAGGATCTATTAAATGTCATTCTTATGGCCTTCCCCAACACTAAAGCCCATGTCATGATACAAATGATTTTATCTGTAAAGATTATCTGTGAGTTAAACTTCAAACAGGACTTAATTTTGGTTTAATCTATTTCAGAGGTTGTCCTACCTGTTTCATCAACTCCTTAGAAATCTACGGGGATGAAAAGGAATAGGATACTCAGAGGCTGTAATATTTACATCAAATATACACACACAGTGTATCAATGGTGGGATTCAAATTTTTTTACTACCGGTTTTATGTGTGTGGCTTGATGGGCATGGCATGACTTGGTGGGTGTGGCTTGGTGGGCATGGAAGGGGAAGGAAAGTGTAAAATCTCAATTTCTACCCCACTCCTGGGGGAAGGTTACCACCGGTTCTCCGAACTACTCAAAATTTCAGCTACCAATTCTCCAGAACTGCTCAGAACCTGCTGAATACCACCTCTGCAGTGTATATATATTTCATATATGTGTGCATGTGCTTCCCAAAGGCCACTGATCATCTTTGTTGTCCGTGTGGAGTGGATATAGGAGTGGTGCTTACTCACAGCACAACTACAGAATATATTTTTCCTCTATTTTCCAGATCCAAAGCATGATAAACTAAGCCAGTGATATTGAATCTAAGACCCACATATCAAAGGTGACATGCCCCAGCACTTTGAGTGACATGCCAGTCAGTGTTCACCAGCACCCAACAACAACTATTCCCAATAACAAGCCTCATTCTTGTGTGATTTACAGAAGGCCTGGGGTGTGTGCTCTTGGGCAGCCTCCAAACATTGCACAAGAATGGGATGTTTTCACAGCTTTCAGAGGCTATGGAGACAACAGAAGAAAATTCTGTAAAGTTTGCCATAGCTGAGCTAAGCTTTTCAAAACAGATATAAGAAGCGTAGTTTTTTTCCCCTCTTTCCACAAACCTTTTTTTTTTAAGGAATAGAAAAATAATTCTGTTGGTCTAATCCAACACAAGACAAACATTGCAAAATTGTTTGGAAGTACAATACCCTTGTTATCAGCAGCAATAAAACCCAAGACATTTTCATGTCTCAGCATGATTGTCTGGTAGATTTCTGCTTCACGAAACCAAGACCTTTCATCTCTTGAGGAAAAGATCTTCACAGCGACATCCTCTCCACACCATTTTCCACGCCAGACTTCGCCAAATCGACCTTTTCCAACTATTTCTTGAAGAACAATAGTCCTTGCAATTGTCCTTTGGACAAGGAGAGGTAAACCTAATGAGAAAAATATGCAATTACAGTTTTTATTTAAAAAAAAATACAATTCTTCTTTAAAAGGCTTAATATTATGCTAACACAATCCCATCTCATTCAAATCAGCAACAAGACAGTGTTTTTCTATCACGTGCTCTCGAACAAACTCAGAAACACGAGGCTTTTTCAGCATGGACAATTTCAAGGGGCAATTATGTACCCAGGATTTGACTGTGAGAAGGGGTGCTTTTTTCATACATTATAATCATGCCGTTATATGAACTCACCATCTCTACAACATAAGTCAATCTCAGTTTCCAAATAGGACTCCTCTGTATTCATAAAAGGCAACCCACTTTAAATATTTTCCAAACTTTTTTCTCATTTCATATCTAATAATGACATAGCCGGCTGCTGTTGCGTCTCACCCAGCAACAAATCTATTTTGGCTTTCTATAAGCAGCCATGGAAATCTGTGATCCTGTAGTTGTTGCTGAGTTACAATGCGCAGCAATTACAGCCCGCACGGGGATAAATAAACTGCTCATCAGACTGAAAAATGGAATAAGGAGATGGCTTTTTAAACCTTTGTTTTCCATCTGGGATAGAAACATACTGGAGAGTAGAGAATGTGCTTCTTAGCATATGCAGAGTAATTAAATGGGAAAGCGTTTCACTGAAAAAGTAAAATGCTCACTACGTTACCTTAGATGCAGAGTACAGGCTTATTTATTTATTACATTTATACGCCTCCCATCTTGCTATCCAGAGCATTTAGCCCAGCTATCAGTGAATGTTAACAGATACATGAGAATAGGAAGGTCTTATTTTTACCTAAACTGCATTTTTCAGAAATGGAAACATGGCAGAGGCAGACAGGCAGGTAATACAAAGGATTGTTTGACTAACAATAAGCCAAATGAGATCTAGATACAGGGACAGCATGAGAAGTATCTTATTCAACTCTGGCCATTTGTCCCAGTGATCAGAATAGGCTCCTAGGGGTCAAGAGCGATGCCATCACCTTGAAGGTATTGTAGCCAGTGACCGTCTGAAGCATGTTCCAGGTCTGCCAACTAGTTGATGATATCAACTAGGAGTGGCACAACCCTCATTAAGCTCTCTTCAATAGAGTAGCTCTATTTCAAGCCAGTGCTTGGATAATTCAGCTTAGAAGAAATGAGAGTTCAGTCACTGACGTCAATTCACATAAGGCACAGTTTTAAGCAAGAGCTCCATCTGAATCTGCACTTGTTTCAGAACAAAAGTTACTGGCACAAAATATCCAGGAATTGTCATCATGAGTCTGACTTTTGAAGCCAAAACATGTCTGGAAGCATTGTAGAAATGTCCATTATTGTAGATTGATAATGAAGAACCCATTCCAGACTTGGCTTAGAGTCAAATGTTACTTGGAATGTCAAAAATGATTTCCCCCTGGCATTTTTTTTCTTCTTTCTACAGATATATGCAGAATATTCAGAAGGCAACTAAAATGTTTAATCCAACTAGTGGCTTTGCCAGATGCTAGATGATAGGAGAGACAGGCATGATAGATCAGTAGTCCCCAACCTTTTGGGCACCATGGACTGGTTGCATGAACAAATTGTTTTCCATGGACTGGGAATGTGTGGCTTCGTGTGCTACCTAGATCCCATGCATGCACAGATGATGCTTTGCTCACTTGTATGGCCCAGTTCCTAACAGGTCAAGGGTGGGGGGTTGAGGACCCTGTGACAGATAATAGGATGACAAGCAGGATGATAGGACAGATAGAAATTGGGACACTGTCAGAAATTTTACCACGGAAGTTTCTATTGTTCCACAATAATAATGTGTGAAGATTAAAAACAAATAAAATGATCTGTTACTACAAATCCAATCCAGTAAGAAGAGGCTATCACAAAGAATGCACCAGTTTTGGAAAGTACAGCATCCAGAATCAAAGCTAATTGAACAGAAGCTAGCAGATCAGTGTCAATTGTAATACAAAAGAAAATATTCACAGAAGCAGAACTGGAAGAACTACAAAAGTCTACCCAGGGCAACAACAAAAAAATCAAAGTAACTCAGCTGGAGAAAGAGGGGTGGGGTGACAGTAGAGAAAGCCAGCATAGGCTGTTAAATAGTTTTCATTCTAAACCAGGCACCCTTTCCTCTGCCCTCTCCTCAGAAAGAATAAAGCCCTCTAATCGAAAACACAAATAGCTGAAATAAAACAAAAAATAGCTGAATATCTAGAACAGCACACAGAAACACACACAAAATAAGGTTGTCTGGATTGAAGTTTGTTCCAAAGAAACAGCTAGCACAAGTATTAAAAGACACCAATACTGTAATATCAAATATAAACGCCAGCTCACTACAAGAAAGAAAACTGATGTACAGCATAGCTGCAGTCATAACTGAAAATCTTGGAAGCAAAATCAGCAAACAAGGAAAAAAGCCAGTGCACTACCAAAACGGGAGAACAGGTTGGAAAAATAAAATTAGCATGCTAAGATTAGACCCAAGCAAGCCAGAACGAATAAAAGCTGAAGAACAAGAAGACCCAAAAATACCTGATCAAGAAATATTAACTTAGAAACAAGGGAGATCAAAGAAGCACCGGAAGTAATAAAGTAGCGAATAACAGCCATAGCCAAATAGCTCAGTGGGTTTGAAGCTAGAATTGCACTACAAGCAGGCTCTCCAATTTCAGCCAAATCAGAAACATACTTTACAAATTCCTCAACAGAAGCAGCCAACATCTGATCAAGAAAAACAGTGCAGTTCTGGGTGCAGCTATGGGACAACTCAAAGAAATACAAAAAGAATGCAGCTTGGATAAAGGAAGTAGGTAAGGGGGGAAAGAAGCTGAAAGGTCTTGTAATACCAGCACACATGGGGGAGAAAAGGGTAAGGAAGTTCAAGAATTGGTCAGCAGCAGGTGAATATGAATTGGCATAAGTTTTGGTTGAAACATCTGACTGGTCTACATCCACTCACTGCCAAGCAGTTTAACAGCACATTGCAAGGAGGTGAAATTGAAGACTGGCTAACATCTGGCAAAACCTATCTGAGGCAGCATCAGGCAATGTCAGGCCAATTTACCTGTTTACCAACAACTTTCAGATTGACATTATGTCTGATGCAGTCCAACAGCATCCAATTGAAAACAATCCTTTTCCACCTGAGCCAAAAGGAAACTGCCCAAACAGCAGAGCAATAAAAAAAAAAAATCAGCTCCTAAGTGATGAGATGATTTTGGAAAACTCAGTTGGTGGATAAAAATGCCAAGTCCAGTCTAAATATCTGGCTGACTGGGTAACCAACAACAACAATAATAAATTAATTAATTAAACTTATATGCTGCCCATCTCCTATTACTCTGGGAAGATAACATTTTAAATGATAAGTTGGTTGCTGCTTAACATATATTTAGATTTACACCATCCAGAAAAGATGCTGTCAAATACTTCAAAGTATATCCCCAAATGCATGGAATACATGCAATTTAAAAATGTGGGAAGGGACAGGACAACAGCAGAACAGATTGAAACAAAAACAAATGGTGTTAAGGTTCAATTCGGTGATAGCAATTAGATGCAGTTTAAGTAAATACGTGTTTAACAACTTGCCCTTTGTGTCACATTAAAGACTACTCTTCAGCAGTATCTTTTGAGGTGCTCTTCAGACCTATATTCTCTATGTTGTGCATGCCTATTTTATATGCTACTCATACACTGCATTTCATATACCTCTTGAGAAATAGATGTGCCTCATCTCTCAACCAACAAGAGACTTGTGTCACTACAAAAGTGCTCTAGACATATGCAAGAGTCATGCAATATGCATGAGAATCTGTGCAGCTTACCCTCCGTAGGGCCAAAAGTTCATCCCAAGTTTTCCCACTAATAAAAAAGTAAGATTTTATGTACCGCCTCAGTTCTGAGACTTGGCATTTACGGGTAGTTTTGAAAGATAAAAAAAGCACAGTTCTTCATAAAAGGCAACTTTGGCAACATCTTATAAGATGCATCAGAAATAAGGCCTTATTCTTAGTGACCACAGCAGTTGGTGCAATGAAACTTCTCTCACTCAACTCAGGTAAAGACCCTTAATGAGGTATCAGTGCTCTAGAGACATTCTCATTGGGCCATTGTACAGCAAGGTGCATACAACTGTCTGTAAGAAGGGACAGAAAACCTAATGATTTTAGAACCCTCTTGCTGTGTTTTTTTCTGGTGTTCAAAAATTAACTTAGGCATAATTTTGCACGAGGTAACTATTCACTTCAGGTTCAGTGTGAACTGTTCAGTGTGACGTTTGATCTTTCAATCCTTATGCATAATAGTCCATCAGAGAAGTGCTTTTTATACTGCCTGTTTTCCCCCTCCCCTGTTTGTTTTAGTATTTAATCTATTCAAAATTGCCCTTTCCTATAGAAGGAGATGGAGATTGAATTGGAAAAAAAAATCTATGAAATGGCTGAAGGATCTCTTTATTTAAAAGTATTGTAGTGTCAGTCCAGGAAGAAATAAAAGAAGCGGCTTCTCTATGAAAATCAGGCTCTTAAAGAAAATTAGAATAGAATCCCACAACTATCACCTAAATTTTAAAAAAGGAAATGAATCTCCCTGATAGATTTTGAGGGTGGTGGGGAGAAACAATGTTAGCCTAATTTTGTTTGTGGGTAATATTCATTCTCTTTCCAATTCCTTTGTAGTTGAATCTATAAATCCATGATGGAATTATTTTTCATGGACTGAATAGTGAAATACATATTTCCTACCCATGTTACTAAGTTACTTAGGCCTTACTCATTGTCTCTCTCCTCCTTCAGGAGCAGAGACAACACACACACACACACACACACACACACACACACACACACAATGCCCAGAATGTGTACTAGCTTCTTTAAAGAGAGCTCTCTTATCTCATCATACCTGTACAACTCTTCTATTAAATTTTGCACACTGTCTTTACTGAATATTGTTTTAGGTTGCTCTGAAATTTAAGCCTTTAATTGTTTACATTATCTTTTAAATGTATTTATCTCCATTCACTTAATACTAAGTATAGGACAATGTGATGTGAATTTTTTAAAAAAATAAACTAATTTCGCCCTATTTCCCTGGGATGTGGAGCAATGTTGTGGAATGTGATTGTTTCAATAGTCCCTTGAGCCTGTGTGTGATCTTGGGGTACTTCTTTCTGACACCGAAAGAATCAAGTCTACGTCAACATAAGCTATAATATGATATAGTAACAGTCCTCATGCACAAATACATCACCGTGATGTCCACCTTAAAGCAGGGGGGAAAACTATACACCTGTAATTAACTCTGGGGCACATAAACATACCAGATCCAGAACCTGATGTTGTCATGTCAAAAATTAGATCTTTGAGAGATCTTCCTGGGTTCACCAGATTACACTCAGAGAGAGGTTCTTCAATATTTGGCCTTCTTTTCTTTCTGTGTCTGCAGAGGTGTCCTTGGCACGTGTATGCTGCCAGCAGGAAAACAATAGACAACACACACACCGGTATGGTTATAACTACAGTCAGCTCCACAGGTCCTAGCTTTGATTTGTTTGAAGGTTCTTGACCTTGAAAACACACACGGAGAAAAAAAAATCAGAATTGCAATTTTTAACCTTCTTAGAAAAGATTTAAATGCATTTTTTGGAAAGAATTGCATTATATTTTGCTGTTTAAAAAAACCCTGGTCTTGGCTCCACTTAATGGAGCTTAAAATAAATAAGACAAAAAATATATAAGAGAAAGGAAATAAAACTAAAATGAATATTTTATCCATTCACGGTTTCTCAGGCTGTTGGTCAAGGAGACCTCTAGTGTTAGATACAGGATATGTTTTTGCTTCCAAATAAGTGTATGTGAAAGGATGCTAGCTGGAGTGGAATGTATAAATGAAGCTTTATTTATTTGAGTTTGAAGTTTGCATTCAGCATTTTGCAAAACAATAATATACAGCCATGTCTGCAAGGGCAAGAAAAACATCAGGAGCAAGAACAGTTCAACCATTACCCACTGAGGAGGTGGACTCCCCTTCACGGGACATGTTCAAGAAAAGGGTGGACAGCCATTGGTAATGCATTGTTTGATTAGGATTTCTGTACTACACAGGGTTAGACGCTGTGGGTTAAATGGCTTTTTCAGTTCTACAGTTCTATTGTTATCTACCTCTTCTCGGATTCTTTCCTTGATTGCTGGTATAACCTGACATATTCCAAAAGTGTAGAATCTATTTCCATATACTGAATTAACTCCAGGTTCAAAGGGGTAATTCTGGGCAGAGAAGACCCATAACAAAGCTCCTCCAATCCCCCCTCAAGAGCACAAGAAATCACGTGATGATAGGTTACTGTCACAAAAAAAAAGAAAAAAGAAAAAGGGTGAAGTAGATATAAATTTAAATGAAAAATCAGCCTTATAAGGAAGGAAAGAAAAGTTCAATGGGCTACTGATAAAATATTCAGATGAAAGTATGTAACTTGCTAATATCCAGATATATTAAAGATATTCATTTTTATTTTTCTGCATAGTGAATAATCCCTCAGATAAGAACACAATCTTATTTAGAAGATAAAATTACTAAATATCACTAAATAAACTTTTCCTATGGGAAATAAGAGCAGCACATGTAATTTTCTGGAAAAGATTAGAGAGTTTGTCTTACAATAAAATAAGAATAAATATAGACAAGACGAAGAGGCCATAGGCCAGCCTGTAGAATACACAATGATAAAATAACACTGCCCTAAATTTAACTAATCACCTGCAGCCAAGCACTTGGCTATAAATCCCAAGTTGGGAGGAATGTCATCACAGATAACCTTATCACCGAAACCAGGATTGTGGACCTGCTACTGATATACTTAAGCCTCTTCACACATTCCACTAAAGGAGGCCCTAAGTGCTGAGGGTGGCTGTGGAGGAAGTGAGCCCATGCAAACACACGCCACTGTCTGCCAATTCATTGAGCATGGCCTTCGGCAAAAGGGAAACAATATAAAGAGAGAACATAACCGCAGAAGCTCAGGTGTGGCACATGGAAAGTCACCAGGGAATGACCAAGGGAGGTAACTAGGGAATGACCAAGACATGTGATCAATTCGTGGAGCCCCATTTATGTCCACTGTTTCTATCTACATTAGACTTATTGGTTCATTTTCTCTTAGTGTTAGTATGTCAATTAAAGAACAGACTTAAGTGATATATTAAAGCACGAAGGTCACATGGGATATTTATATAAGACAGGATTTTTTTTTAACAGACCCTCTATGGGCATACATTGGGCAGCAAATAATGAAAGATGATGCAATTGTAGCATCATGCATTATTTGATCAGATGTCAGGGCTTAAGTACCATAGTACTTATTCTAGTATTTTTTTTTACATAATATGGTGGTTATCCTGTAGATGTGTTCGTTTTGGCATCATCATAGTTTCCTTTAGGTCTACCAAGAACATCTTTTATAACTACAAATGTCAAAAACCCATTCACAAGAGCTGACAGTTTCAAAATGTATCTTTGCATAAAGGTTGACAACTTTCAGTTGTTAACTCTTTATTATTGTTCATAATTTTCAAACCAAATTAACTAACCTGAAAGTACTGTCCTGGATTATTTAAAACTTGGCTTTTGGTCAGAGTACTTTGTAACTTTGTTGTGGTGTGCGACACTCTGGCAAAACAAAAATTCCCTGTTTTACTTTTCAAATCAGTTCAAGTTTAAAACATTTCCATAATATCCCAAACAATTTACTTTGTGCCTGAAGGACCAGCTTTGCAGTTGAAATGGGATGTTTCATTAGCCAGAGAGGTTCAACCTTCTATATGTACCCCCTAAACATTTGGCTCTTCTGCTTATCAGGATAACCTGCAGATTCAGGTCAAGCAGCATCAGGTTATGGCACTACTGTTATGTCAAAGTGGCCACCAATAATAAAGATGCTACCCATAATGTTATACTAGATCAAGGGGTCGAGCCCTAATAGAGAGATTTTGCAGGATGAATGCATAGTCTCATCTGCTCTAGAGGAGTTGGATCAGATTATGTAGGTTTGCCCTAGGAGATTAACAGATCTGGTTAGATTCTAAGTAGCTCTTTGGTCCTCTCCATCTTCCCCTCCCCCTCCCCATTCTAAGAAATTACACAGGGTTCTTAAAAGAACCATAGTGTTTACCTCCCTGTGAATTCCCCAAAACACTTCCCTGAAATCAATCTAAAGTATTCCATAGTCTATCAGGTGCTTCTATTTAAACCACGTATTCTGATAATTATTTGCCTCTGTCTATATCTGAATGGCAGTTACTCCATATTAACTGTAAGTACATTGTAAGGTTAGGCATTATTTTTCATGTATAATGGAAAGTACTGCAGCTAATTCATTAACACACATTACTGCAGAAGTTAATGCATAACAGTCTAATGTAAATTAAATGAATAAAACATTCAGATGGCAGAAAATATCCATTAGCAAACAGCAGTCATTAGATGTGATGTTCACTATTGGTGTAAATATAAATGTGGTATATGTGTATTTAATTTTCATCCATGTGATATTGGAAGTACAATAAATATAGATAAGATCTTCAGAATGCCTCACAAACTATATGAGCCAATGATTATTTAGCATCCCAGAAATAAAAGTCTAATGCAGGGAGTATTTTTCATCCTTGGAGACTAGCCTTCTGGGACATGCATGATCTCAATGGATGGACTCACTATTATAATTACTATTATAATTACTTAATTTATATACCAACCTTCCAATGTAATGAAGATAATAATATTCTCCTATATAGCATACATTATGATACATACACATCTGGACACATGTGCATACAAACACACAACAAATTCTTATTTTCCTTTTATTCCCTCTCTTCGTTTTCCTTCATTCTGGGGTTGACAGTCAAAATGTTTTGTTTGATTGCTTATTTTGTTTTTATTAACTAAAACCAAAAAACCCAAAGAAAAATAAATAATATATGTGGCTATGAAAAAAAGAAAAAAAAAGAAAAACAAGAAAACTAAAAAATAGGAAATAGAAACATACTGCTCCATCACTGGGGGCTTTTAAGAGAGACTGGACAGCTATTTGTCTGAAATGATATAGGGTCTCCTGCTTGAGCAGGGGGCTAGACTAGAAGACCTCCAGGTCCCTTTGAATTCTGTAATTCTGTTATATATTCACAGATACATATTACATATGTATACGTTCTACATAAGTATTGCACTAGTGGAAAAGGTAGCCATATTTCATTGTAATCATCCAAAGCTAATCTATTGTCAGGGTTCCGATGGATGCCCTAATTAATTCATAAGCCTCGAGCCAAGTTTCAAAAGAAATCCAATTATTTATTAGCAGCAGCATGTCGGCACTTTTCCCAAGTGCAGTCGGCTCTGCCCTACATAATTTACTGCCCACTTATGACCTGTTTCCCCCCTCCTCCCAGGCTGTGTCATAAATCACATTCTCCAATGAAGCACTTTTGCAGGCTGTAGAAAATACGCTTCTCCGGCTGGCTCTGGTAACTTGGGACACAATCTGGAGAAAGATATACGTGGAATGTGCTTCTGGTCATAGCAACCGAACTGCTCCATCAGATCTCCTTCTTATGGCAACTCGAGAGCAAACCAGGAATGCTTTACGAGTTGACATCTATGTTGATAAATAATTCTTTCATAACTTGCTAAACCATCAACCCTGCAGACTAGTGCCTAGCTGAGACCATATATTTATATTTCCAATGCTCATGAACCAGTTTTCTTAGTTATAAGTAGGGCATGGAAAATCCTCTTTTTTGTCCTGTTGTTAATTACCACGCGATCAAAAATATAATTCAGAAGAATATTTAAGCATAGTAAATCTTGTCACAAAGTTAATATGTATAGCAGTGTCATTCCCAGAAAGAACAATTATAGGATGCAGTGCAAACATATGATTAAAAGAACCATTAATCTTACTGCATTTCCAACAACATGAAAATTTATTTAAACCTTTTCTCTATAAATGTTTTGACGTTCAGTAAGATGAATTATTTATTAATTAATTTATTTGTTTTGCTAAAGAAGATTTAATAACGTACAAATTGTTAGATTTTGCTGCTACAAGATAAAGTAATGAGCATTTGTATTATCTTTAAAGGAAATTAAACATATCAACAAAGAACAGATTTGTCAAAAGATATTAAGTCCTGTCAGCTATGCGTTTAAACCTGGTTGCAACCTAACTAAATTTTGCTAAGGAATTATGAGGCAAAAATAATATTTTTATACCTATATAATAGCATTTCTAGACCAATGTAGGAACAAGTTACTAAACAAGATAGTCTTATTCTGACTTACAAGAACAATCCACAGATCACATTAATTATAGAACCACAACATAATAATCCAAAATTATTGTTCTGTGGTACATTGCAGAAATGATGTGACTGTTCTGAATGCCTGCCTGTTGTTGGTAATAAATTGGAATCATAGACTGAAACTGCATACAAGATTGAGATGCTTGCTGAGGTCTGTCTACCTTCCAGAGAGGTAAAAGTTCTTCCTGTTCTGAGTGAGGACACACTCTCC